AATTAATTATAATTATTAATCAACTAGATCTAGATTAATAAATTATATTATAGTTGAAGATCAAATTGCATAATATGTATAACTATTTAATTTTTTATATTATATATGATTAATCTATTAATTTTTTTTGGGACATTTAGGCCATTTAAGGCAAACTCACACACACAACGCATACACAAAGACTCGAACCTTGGGCCTCTTAGTTGGAAGCTTAAGCTCTCAACCAATAGGCCAAGGAGAGTTGTGTATCTATTAATTTTAATATTAAGTATAATAAAAATTTTAATATTAAATTAAATATTATTATATTATATTGATTTTAGTATTATTTAAATGTTTATAAATTTTTTAATATCTTACAAATAATTTATAGTTATAAATTATAATATTCATTATGTTAAATATAATTAAAAAGTTACTAAAAATTTTAAAGTGAAATAAAATATAATTAAAATTTTAAATTATAATTAAAAAGATAATTGAATTTTACTCTCTCTCTCCATTTGCACCTCTCTCTATTTCTCTCTCTTCGTCTCTATTCATCTCTCTATATCATTTCTCTCTCTCTCTCTTCATCTCTATAAGAAGCTTAAAATAAAAAATTGATTAAAAATTCTTGTTGCAATGGAAAACTAAAAAAAAAATCATCTTCTTTCCATACTTGCTCAACGCTTACCTGATCTCAGCAATGTATTAAATTCTGTTATATGCACATCTTGTAACGTGGCCAAGAGCGACAAGCTTTTTTTCAATAAAAACATTAATGTGTCTACATCCTTATTTGATTTAATCCACTCTGACGTCTGGGAACTAGCTCCGCAAAACTCTTTAGATGGCTTTTGATATTACGTGATTTTTATTGATGACTTCACGCGTTATTCATGGCTCTATCTAATGCATTCTAAACAAGAAACCCTTGCAAAGTTCAAACTATTTTGTAATCTCGTTAAAAATCAACATGGTTGCACACCCAAGAAATTTCACTCCGATGGTGGTGGCGACTACACAAGCCATGCGGCCTTCAAAACATATTTGCAAGAACTCGGAGTAATACATCAATTGAGCTGTCCTCACACCCCAGAATAAAACGGCCTATCCGAGTGCAAGCACAGGCACCTACTTAACCTCACTCGCACACTTCTACATGCCTCCAACCTCCCAAATCACTTCTGGGCCGAAGCACTTTCAACCGCTAATTACCTCATCAACCGTCTTCCCTCTAAATCCATCTTTCTTCACTCACGATATCAACGCCTCCATGGTTCTTTGCCCACATACTCTCATCTTTGCACCTTCGGATGTCTCCTTCCCTTTGTTGCAATCTTACACTACAAACAAATTATCTCCCCGCTCTCAAGAATGCATTTTCCTTGGCTATTCAACTCTTCATAAATGTTACAAATGCTTCCACCAAAACTCAGGAAAAATCTATATTTCACGGCATGTTGTGTTCTACTAGACTGCATTTCCTTGCAAATCTTCGTCCTTCACTTCACCAAATTCAAATCATTCTCAACTCCACACCACCTCTCCCCTGCTTCTCATCCTACCTCCGCAGTCTCTATCCCACATACTGTTAGCGCTTCTCCTTCAAATACATCAACCCGTACCTCTCCTAACACCTCCCCTCTGACTCCGAAAATCCCATCCAGCACTACTACTCCAACTCCCAACCCAGAATCCATTCAAAATCCTTCACCTCACCACTCTACTACATCCAATCTCTCTCAGTCCATGTCTGTCCACCCAAACCATTCGATGCAAATTTGGCTAAAGTTTGGCATCTCCAAACCCAAATAGATATTTTCCCTTATCACTACCAATCCGTCTTCTTTAACTCCTACCACCTACACCGAGGCCGCCAAGTTAGCACATTGGCGCAAAGCCATGACGGACGAATTTAACGCCCTTCAATAATAAAATATCTACAGAACAAATAGAATGTTATAAAGCTTGCCTCGTCACTCTTGGTTACGATCAAATACTTGATGTCAATTATAATGAAACTTTCAGCCATGTCACGAAAATGCCTATGATCTGCATTCTCCTCACAGTTACACTTCATTGGAATTGGCCCATGCTTCAACTTGATGTCACCAATGCATTCCTGCACGGTGATCTTTCGGACGACATCTACATGCGTCAACCGCCCGGCCTTGTAGATCTACACCTTCCAAACCAACTATGCAAACTTCAGAAATTTCTCTATGGGCTCAAGCATGCACCATGACAATGGTTCCAGAAACTAACCAATTTTCTACAATCACAAAGATTCAGGTTTAGTCGTTCCGTCTCATCTCTCCTTCTACTTAATCATAATTACACTCAGATTTACGTATTAATTTACGTGAATGATATACTTATCACATGGAAAGACCAATCTGCAATTCAGTCTCTACTCAAGCTCCTCAACTCTAAATTTGCTCTCAAGCAGCTTGGACAAATCTCTCTTTTCCTTGGCATCCAAGTCCTTTGAACCACCTCCTGCTACTTCTTTACAAAACACACTACGCCAAGAAAATTCTACACGACGCTGGCTTTGATGACTGCAAACCCGCACCAACACCCGTAACTCCAAAATTCAAACACCAATACAACAATCTTCAGCCATTTCAAGATCCAACTCTCTATCGTCGCCTAGCGGGATCTCTCCAATACCTATCTATAACGCGGCCAGACATCACTTTTGCCACCAACCTGGTCTGTCAACGTATGCAACATCCCACTGAGTAAGACTTTCAAGCTCTAAAATA